GGCGGCGGCGAAGCGCACCGCACCGGACTGCTTCTCCTGCTCGGGCAGGCGCTTCCCGCTGCAATTTCTACAAATGAGAAAGAAAAGCAGAGAGGTGTGCCTAGCTACCGCATCTCCCCTTTCTAATCCTCGGCCTTCACGGCCAGCGGGGCAGCTCAGGTTAGACCCGCTTGTTGGTAACGGGGCGCTTATCGCAGAGGCCACGTGTCCCCCCGGCGCCCTCCCCTCATCTCTCCTCTCCTTTTCTCTGCCTACGTGCGTTATCCGAGCACCTATTTTCAAGCCGCAGCGCTAGGAGAAGACTGCAAGCTCTCTGAAGCTTGGCTTAGGAGCCTGAGAGTCCAGCAACACGGAGGTCCCTAACGCAGGTGCATATCCCACCGAAGGGAGTTATGATACTGCATATCCAGTATCGTAACAACTGCTACTGGACTGTAGCCCCTGATGCTGTAGTGACCATAGCTCTGTTGAAGGCCAAGTTTTCAGGCAGCTTCCCAGATCCCGTTTTTGGGGTAAAACAAGTGGGAAGAACGGCAGCCAGAACCGTGCTGAGGTCCAGCACGGGGCCCCCCGCGCTGCCGCCCCGGCCCTCAGCAGCCCTGCCGAGTTGGTCACATCAGCTGTAGTTGGGCTCTGGCTGTTCCTTACTGATCACGAGAATTAGCACTCAAACGAAAACAAGACACTGCCCCAATGATTATCTTCCTTTATTTCTGTAGGTCCTTCTGTAACAGAACCTCTCGGACGGCAAGCTTTGGCAAGGTTGCTTAGACTAATAATAGTACAGATATGCAAAACAGTTTCAGTACTTCGCCAAAGGCGGATGAACGCTACGAAACTGAAGCCTCAGATGTCCTTCAAATATATAACTTATTAGCAAGTTTACAGAGCCAGACCCACCGAAGCGTTATCTGGAATGACAAAAAAGGCACAGCAACGTCGGCTCAGTTGTCTGGGACTTTTAAGATCTCATTTCCGAATCTCCAAGCGGCTTACAGAGCCAAGGGTTCGCCTGCCTGCCCCATCCGAACGAGGGCAATTTAAACTGATAGATTCAACTCTTTCGCAAGAGATGGTGCAACCAGGAACTAGCAGGGAGAACCAGAATTTCCTCCCTTCTCAGTTGGGCAATCCTTGTTCTGCCGGACCCGCAACACTGAACGGCCAAGGGAGGTGTTAAAAAAATATTTGTGTGTGCGTGTGTGCGTGTCTGCACATGCAACCAACCTGCTCAGACTGGACCAGACACAAGGCTGGCAAAGAGATGCCTCAAGGGCCTGGGTTACGTTTGCGGTGTGCCCCCTCTCATTTTACCCACTGATTTTAAGACATTTCCCAGCAGCCTTCGTGTGTCCTGGCTCCGCGCCGTGCAGTACCCCAGACGCAGGGTTGTACCTACAGTAGCAAATAGCCCATGAGGGGGAAAAAAGCAAAGAAGAAAGTGTTCGTTCCCATCTCTCTGGCCCCAAAATAGGCCACACAGATGCTATATTCTCTTGTGAAGGCATCAGGCAGTTGCATCTTTATCTCTTAATACCCCCCCATAAGTAGCTCAGCTTAGATTAGTGGCACTCCGAGTGTCTCTGCAATTAGAAATCTGTACTTTCATTACAAATCACTGTATTTAGAAGCTTAATATGGCTGCAAGATATCCTCCAAGAAGAAATTTGGCCAAGAAAAAAAAAAAAAAAAAGAGGGGAGAAGGATTTTTTTTTTTTTTTAAGACAACTAATGTGTGCCTATAGCCTCCCTGCATGGCGAGCGCAGTTTTAGCAGCTGCAAAGGGGAAGCTGCGACGGCGGCTGTGCCTCTCCTCTCCTCTGCACCCCAGCAGCACTGGAGTTGCTCCCAGCTCACAAACTTAGCCCATTTCCATCAGCTGCAACAGACCCACCGACACAGCCGCATCTGGAAACCAGAGCGAGGTTCCTTGGGAAACCTGGTCCCAAGCCTCAGCTGAAGCTTTGTGGCAAGCACAAGAGAACCAAAGAGGTTCTTTCCAGCTGCAAGCACGGGGTGGGAGGAAAAGCAATGAATTACTTTAACATGAACTGTCACATTTCAAATACATCCCACAAAACCAAAAAGTGTAGGCTGGCAAAACCTTCCCCTCTAGAAATACTGGGGGTTTCAGTGGGAGTCGCACACAAAATAAGCATGCAGAATCAGGCCTCAAGTACGTAAAATAGACTATAGAATTTGGCACTTTAAAAATATTTATAAATAACTTAAGACATTCAGGCTCAGAGGCATGTGCAGCCAAATATTTCCCTCTGATATGGGGAAGAGCATGGATCCACATCCGGTACTGTGGATCCACAATGCAGAAACTAGTTTTACATTTAATACAGGAACCGAACGTGCCCGTTGCAGGCTCTTTGGAACATCTCCTGCGCCCCTTTGAAGGCACACGGAGGACACACCTAATGAAGTAGGTGTGCACTGGGGATTATGGATCCATAGTACAGAACATGACCTATTCTTCATATACATTCACAGCATACGGCAAAACAACTCCCGGAGGTTTCCTTGGCTATGTCTATACTGCAAGGTATATATCATGGCAAACTTAACCACTGGGTGAGTGAGCCCAAGCTCTGGGCGGTTCTCTGCACTCAGGTCTGAGGTTGTCTACCTTGGTTTGGGTCTGCTCCCCAGCCGGTAGCAAAGAGAGAGGCAGGAACCTTTGGGCTCAACCCTTGAGCAAGGATGGATCCATCTGTCCAGCCTGCAAACTCCAGTCTCAGCTCAAGCACAGTGAAGGCAACATAGATCCAACTTCACATCCAGGGTCCGCAGCAGACATCCAGCCAGAAATCCTTACTGTCCCCGAAGGGAAGCCTTGAATTGATCACACAACCCATTCTCTTCCATAGCCAGATCGTACCCGTCAAGCATACTGCAAAATGAAGGCACACAAGGGACAGTTAAGGGCAGAGGTACATTCTTTTGGATTATTCCTTGCGTTTAGTTCAGATGAAACGTGTTGACTGGCAGCCCAAGAGCTGGCAATCCTCTGCATGGCCACAGGACAGCAGAGCAGGAGGAACCAACTCCTGGCAGGGCAAAGCAGCTCCCCCTCAACGAGCGATCGGCGGTCCATGGTGAGGGTGCAGATCGCGGCACCACGTGGAGTTGAGCAGGATAAGCTATTTTGGCCACATGGATATTTGCCCACTAGAAACGGACTGGGGCAAAACAGCCACATGGGCCAAATTCTCACTGGCAACGTCGAGCTGGTCGGCTCTCCAGGCCATCAGCCATGCCCTGAGCAAAAAGCGAACTCTAGATTTCTTTTCTCCTGTGGGTTTCAATCAGATCCGTTAAGCATAGCGTCTCAGTTTTGTTTTGTTTTTTCCCTGTTAAACTTCTACAAAAAGAAAATACGTTCTTTGGCACTTGTGCGACAACGACACATAGACACGACACTCTGCTATCCTTCGACGGCTTGCTGAATTCATCTCTACAGGTCTATATACGCAGAGTCTGTGTCCACCCTCTGGGCCTCTCCGAAGATCAGGAACGCACAGAGACCGATGCTGTTAACAGCAGCCACCAGGTTGAAAACGGAAATCCAAGAGCCAGTAGTTTCGATCAGATAGCCGGCCAAGTACACGCAAATGACACCTGCGCACGGCAGAGAAGAGACAGAAATGCAAGCGCTGGGGCCAGATCCTGCCCGCCAGCTGCGAGGGGGTTCCCCAGGAAAGGATGAGCTGCAGGAAGGTACCTTACCGAGCAGGGCTCCACCGGTATTTCCAACGCCTGGAAAGAAAAGAAAGGGAAATTGCCCTATTGCTTCGGCTCACAAGAATCCGAGGATACGGGGGGCTTCAGCTGGGTTCCCACCCGACGCCGACCTGCGCGCCGAGCAAAGTGCCTTGCTGACGGCAGCCGGCAGGCAGAAATGCTTATCCTCCTCCCGTCCCTCTGCGCATGCAATCATTTCACAAACTAAAAGGCATGTTCGTGCCGTTCCCTGCGCCCAGTTATGGCAGCTATACGCAGCGAAGGAAGCTGAGGCTGCAAACGCAGACCAGAAGGTGCAGAGTGCTACTGCTGCGAAAGCTTCAGTGCCCACTGCCGTGTCCCCTCCCGTACACACACCGTCCTGCCAGGACAAACGGAAACCCGCAGGGACCCTTACCAAACAGCAAGCCAGCACACGAGGGGGCCAAATCTTGTACGTTTACTGAAATACCACTATTGAGAAACAGAGAGGAAAAAAAGGCTGCTTTAATGCAACATGATTATCTTTTCCGTTGTTTACATGTTTAGTTTGTTATACCAAAGCAGAGGATCCTAATGGCACCGTAAAGAGAAGAAAAGAAGGGAAGTGGCTGAGAGTAAAGCAACACAGGAGAGTAACAGAAGGAAAAGGATTCAATTCAAAGCAGCTCATTTAAAGTACTCGGAAGGATCAAAACACAATTCACTTTTTGCTTCACGTGCTACTACCTGCTTGGTCAAATGCACCCCCCTCAATGTGTCAAGCCCTTCCCCAAGCTAGACAAGGTCCACAGGTGTTGCTGGATCATCTCCAGCCCGGTGGGCACCAAACTCCACCAGCAGGGACCAATATACGACACTCAGACCGGTGCTAGTTTCTGCACTGACATGCAATGATGGAGGTAGCCTGCTTTGGGACCCCAAAACGACAAGCATGGGTAAGAGCTAAGTGCCACAGCTGGTGTCCTTATCACCCTTGTTACCTGTGGTTAAAGGTCTGCAGTCCAACAGAGGCTGAGGCAAACACTATAGCTTTGCAAAAACTGGATGTCTGACCCAGGCACAAAGCAAAAACACTTGATACACCTGAGCCGATGACCTAGAAGAAAGAGAAAATTAAATACCACAGCAGCTTTTCTGCGACGAAGAAAGCAGCTCCTCCTGCAGATGAACGGTTCCCTTCTAAATATGAAGAACGCACTACGCAGCAGGTGCTTCTCAGGCCTTTTCCTCCCCTTTGCCCTGCCTTTCTGGGTGCCAAAGGCCAGTCCAGCTGGATGCTATGCTGTGAAGCAGAAGCGCTGCTGCAGGTTAGAGAGGATATGCTGCATTTCCTGCCCTGGCATTTCTCTCTCTGCTCATCTTTCTAATGCTCTTTCCTGCAATATCTAATGAGTCATTGGGAGTGACAGCGTATGGCTGGTCTTTGAGTGCTCTGAAGAGGTTTCGTTCACACAAACCTCCATGCACAACAGATTTCGCTTCCCGCGCACTTTGATCGCTTATCTATCAGCAAAGCTATAAAACCTATTCTCTTTCCACCTCTAACCAGCAGCCCGGCTCTGCCGGAGCCCCAGTTGCATTCGTCTGGCTTTATTTCTCTTACCTGCATGAACTTACGAATGGTGATGGTTTTGTATCCTGGAAGAGAAAGTAAGAGTTCCAGTCAAGGACCGTACAATGGCTAACCTTGTTCTCCAGCCAGGAGAGTATAGGGTAAATGTAATCTAGGACAATAATGAGGAAAAGCCAAAAGAGCTCTTACCCTGGTTGATTAAATGATCAGACAGAAATCCACTGAATAAGCTCGTTGGAATTGCAACCAGCCACGGGACTACATTGAACACCCAACCCTAAAAGGGAGCAAGAATCAAGAGAAGCAGGCTATCAGAGCTGAGTTTGTTTGCTTTATTTGCTATTTTTAGAAAGGAGAAAAGAAAAAAAAAAAAAAAAGAGAGAGAGAGCGAGAGATCAGGACTCCTCGCAGGATCCTGAGCCGCTTTGCCAGAGCTCGCTCCTAGCTGCGCCCCGCGGCACCCCGGGGTCCCTCACGTGGCAGGCACACTATGGGGCTGCAGCATTTGGCAGGTTTGCTATGTTCAACTTTGTTTTGGCGATGCCACCTCCAGGGCGAAGAGGCAGAAAGCTCTGCCCGCAGGATTAAATGTTCAGCGTTCAACCAGGTGACGTGGCGGGGAGCCCCACCGCTGTGGAAAGCGAGCAGGATATGTTATTCTGCCGTGTGGGGCATCAGTAAAACTGCCAGGAAATTTTCAGACATCAGCTTCAACCTCCTTAGCAGCATTACCGCGAAGCCGAGGGAACATAGCTGGATTTTCTAATGCCGGGATTAAGTAACATTACGGGTAGCAACATACTTTGGTCTGTTTTCAATCAAGACAGCTTGCTACGTTCATAATCACATCTGGATTAGAGCTGCTCAAAGACGTTTGGGTGCCTCGATCCTACCGGGAACTGACATTGATTGGGCTGGGCTTCACCTGAGCTGATGCAACCTGCCGTCCCTGCTACGCACCCCTCTGCGCCGAGCCGATCCCTCCCGCGCCACGGCCGGCCAGACAGGAGGG